AAAATTCCACTTGTTCTCACCAATTTGCTCTTCTCACCTCCAGCCGTGCAACTTCACTCTTCAGGTAAGCCACCTTTGGAGGAAGAATGGTTCGTGGTACTAAGGATGACTTCAGTTGCATCACTGCTTGGAGACGCTGTGGGAGGGAACCAGAAGGACTTTGAGGCAAGGGGGGCTGAGTGGAGGGGCGCAATGGAGAGCACTGGAAGCCACCCCCAAAAGCCTCACTCTGAACCACTGCTCCCGGGGCCTCGTCAATGCAGCCTCATAGCTGCATCCCGTGGACATGAAGAAACACCATCTCTGGCTCGGACCTTGCGGTCCCCCGGGCCGCAGGACTGACAGCTCCGAAGGTGGTTTTCTGAATCCCTCCCAGACCCGTGCCGCCGCCAGCGCTTCCGGCCCCTCCCCCTCCCCTCCAACTCAGCTCTCCGGGCCTTGCGCCGCCACGCGGCCCTCAGTCGGACACCCGCCCCGCACCCCCAAGCCTTGGCCTGATCGGCCATCGCTCGGGCGATCGGCCCAGGCAGGATTTCTGGGCGAAGATAATCCAGGAGGCGGAGAAGAGGGTCCGGCGCGCCTCGGCGTCGCCCTTCTCTCGGGCCCAGGCTCCGGGCTCCCGGACCCGCCAGACTCCTCGAGCCGTCCCGGCCCTCGGCCTCCCGAGCCCCTCCCGGCCCTGCCTCGTCGTCGCCCTGCTCTGAGGCTCCGGGCCCCCAGACCCCCTATTCCCGGGTCCCGGGCCGGGGGCCGCACTAGCCTTGGCTGGGCCGCTGCGCCGCCGCGCGTTGCCGGGACAACGGCCGCGAGCCCAGCTTGGATACAGCCGAAACCGAGCGGGCGGACGCCGAGACCAGCCGAAGCGCCCCGAGAGGCCGGAAAGAGCCGAAGACGCTCGGAAACGTTCGTACGCAGCCGAGGGCAGGATTCCTGCCGCGGGTGGCGAGCTCCGGGGCTCTGCAGGACAATTTCACTCTTTCTCGATGGTTGTCTAGAATGCACAACGCTAGCTCGCAGAGGGACCCAAAGGGACAGAATATGCCTTTCTGCCCAGAGAAGGGAAGCTGGTGTATTCTTCTGTATGTGATGGGGAGACACGGTCGGTTCGCGACCCGCTTCTGTAGTTCAGTTACCAACCACATAGGTCAGTCAGGAGGAAGGCAGCAGGGAGACTGGGAAAGAAAGAGAACGCCATCTTTAAGATTCTCTCCTCTCTGGTTAATCTTATTGCTGGGTCTCTTGGACCCCAAAAGGTTTGCTAGATTCTGATTTGTCTCCAAGAGGGTGTCGTTCAAGAGTATTTCTGAGAAAAGTCAGTTGATTAAACATAGTTCCTTGAAGTTATGCGTTCAGTGCTTTGAGGGGGCAGGCTTATGGACGCCATTGGAGAGAATAGCGTAGAGTAGAAAGTACGAGTTCATTTAGTTAGAAACTAACCTTTTTCCTAACCTTGGCTGCTGACTGCATTCCCTAAGGCATTAGCAACGTGCTGTCCTGCTCTAACGGTCTGGTGGGTTAAACTAATTTTGAAAGAAAAAAAAAAGCAATGTTACTAAGAAAACTTACTATAGCAAACAGCAGCAAAGGTCTTTCATTTGTTAAGCATACAAGGAAGATTCTATTTAAAAAAACCATTTTCTTAAACACTAGGATTTTATTGGATAAATTTAATATGTAACATTGCGTAAATTTAAGGTGTACAAAATGTTACTTTGACCCATTTATATATTATGTGATTAAATTGTAGAGATATTTATCAGTTAGTCATAATATAATATTATTGTCTGTATCCATTATATTGTGCAAGCTTTCCAGGTGGCTTAGTGGTAAAGAATCCGCCTACCAATGCAGGAGACGGGGGTTCGAGTCCTGGGTCAGGAAGATCCCCTGGAGGAGGAAATGGTAACCCACTCCAGTATTCTTGCCTGGGAAATCCCATGGACAGAGGAGCCTGGCGGGCTACACTCCACCGGGTCGCAGAGAGTTGGACCCGACTGAGCACGCAGGCATTACATTGTGCATTACATACTTCTCCTTAACAAATTTGTACCCTTAAGCACCATCACTCTTATCCCTCCTCCATAAACTCTAGGATTTGAAAAACACTCCTTCATCGCCAAAACAAAGAAAACCCTAAGCGTCCAGCACCATCCGCAGCGCTAAAAAACTTGAAAGGCTTCACGCTCAATCCAGTAAAGGGTGTGTTTTTCTGCTTCAGTCGCACTTCCACACTTTTTCGGTAAAAACCCGGTTCGCGCCGGATTCAAGACTCAGAGCTGAGGCGGCGTTTTCTTCTCACGCATCCGTCAACAGGGCTGGGGCCAATCACAGGCTAGGCTCTCACTCTATTGGCTGGCGATCCACCAATCCGGAGAGACGTACCAGTCCGCACGGCCGCGAGGCTAGCGTCACAACACTACCCGCGTCGTAGATCCGCCCTCCGCCCCCACCCAGCGTCCCTGCGTATAAGCGCGCGCGCCCGCTGCTGACCAATGGGAAGGCCCCTGGAGGGGGAGCGCCCGCTGGAAACCTTGGCGTGCTCGGCCCCGCGCGCGTCGCCCCGCCCCGGCTCGTACTCCCGCCGCCCCGGCCCCGCCCCGCGCGTAGGCCCCGCGGACTCCGCCGGCCGCCGTAGCCGGAACTGCTCCTGTTCGCCGCGGGCCGGGCCTCAGGGAGGCTGAGGGGCGACAGCACCGGCGCCAGCAGCCTTCTCAGCCGCACGCCGACCGCCGAGGGGACGTGCCGGGGCGAGTGCCGCTCGGCGACTGCTTCTGAGGCGGGAGGACCACACCGGCGTTGCGGTCTCTCAGCAGCCGGCGCTCGGGGGCCGGGCTGTCCGACTTGGCCGGTTTTGCGGGCGCCCGGGAGGACCCCGGCGGGCCCGGGAAGCCAGGCTGCTGCGAGGCGTTGATGAAAAAGGTGACCGGAGGCTGGAGCTCGGGAGGGGTGGGCCGCCCCGACTCGCTGTCGCGGCGAGGCCGGCTCCCAGCCCGAGCGGGGCTGCAGGAGGAGAGGCCTGCGCCCTGGCGGCGGTGGTTACGCACGGGGTGTTTCGTCGGGGCGGCTCGGGGGAGCCCGGACCCAGGAGTGTTGCGTTGACGGAGCTCTTTGTGTACAGATAGAAGTCAGCCGGGGAGGTGGGGTTTTGCTTTTCCTTTCCCAGAAGGTGACAAATGGTGTCCTGCCGGGATGGGGCTTGAGGCGATCCCTCCTCTGTGCGCGGCCAGGAAGTAGGGTTGGAGGGACTTGGTGAGAGAATTCCATCTCCCTGGTTTCCTTTTTCCTCAAGGGAAAACTCTGAAATATGTCTATACCTTTTGAATTCTGAAAAGCCACTTTCTTCTGTATTCAGGTAGTGCTCCCAAGAATAAGCTTGGCCAACGGGCAAGTTTATTCTGTTGTAGCTGATAGAACCACTGCCTGGGTCCTGGGTTGACTATGAGTAGCTTTGGGGTGATGGCTTGGTTCCTGGAAGGTAGGGTTCGCCACATTATAACCCAGAGAAAGGTCCTTTGGGGTGTTTTCAGGTTTCTTAAGTAGAAATGGATAGGATAAAGGGTGACTAGTGAGATGTCCTGTACCATGAAGTCCTTTTAAGTTTGGGCATCTGTCTTAAATAGTTCTATTCTTTGGCAGGTTTTTTTATTTTCAACTGGCGTGGATTCAGATGGTTTATGACACCAATTTCAACACATGAAAGCTATTGTAGCAGGTAGTTTTGAGGCATAATACTTTTAAGCAGTAGTAGGTATCACTATGATTTTAGTCATTTCCAAGTCTTTCTAGGAGAGGTCCTTACAGTCCTGTTACTCTATTTCATTGTTGGCCTTGATGTCTTGCTCTCATTTTCCTTTTCTCAGCAGTCGTGTTGAGCATATCAAACACAGTTTGGGCACAGTATCAACACCTGTTGAGGAATCTAGTTTTTAAAAGGTTTCTTGTCCCACTGCATGTGCACATTACTATTTCTGGACTTACAATGTTATTAGTACCTGAATCTCTTTGAATCAATTGAGTGGATCTGCTTTTTGGGGGACAGACATTTTCAAAGTCATCATATTTTGTCGATGACATTGCTCACAACAGAGAGTCACAAAGTTAGTGCAGGATTTTTATTCCTGATTACCTAGAGTTTTAACAGAATTCTCTTCTGTCCATTCTTACCTGGACGTTACTGTGCTGTCACTTTCACGGGTGACTCCAGTCTGTTCCACACAACAGGCTCCTTTGTTGCAAAAGCATTTTTAATTTGTAAATCCCCACAGCAGCACACATCTCCCACCATCGGAAGCAGGACTCCCAGAAACCCCGAGCTTATTATTCTTTATGTCTGTTTTAAAATAAGCAGGCGGACCGGCAGCCTCGGGCCACCATGGAGTTCCCTGTGCACGCAGGCGAGCCCGCGCCTGTGCCCGGCCCGGATCGATCCGGGCCCCTCGCCCTCGCTCCGGTGCCAACTTTGGGGGCCGGAGTGCGGGGCAGGTGCGCGGGCCCGGAGCCTCGCGCGTTTTGGGGGGCGGGGTGGGGTGGGGTGGGGTCGAGGGGCGCGGGCGCCGAGGCCCGGCCGGCTCGGGCAGCGCGGGGAGCGAGGTCGGCGCGCGGGCTGCCCGGCGCGCAGGCCATGAGCCGCGGGCCCTCCGGGTAGGTGGCTGCAGGACCCCTGGACCCCGACCCGGGCCCTCTGCCCCTTCTCCTTCCCTGGACCGGGGCGCCGCGCGGGCAGGGCCGTCCGGGCGCGGCCGCCAAGCTGCCGCCCCGCCGCCTCCGCGTCGCCGGCCACCGTTTCCTGGGCGTCGGGCGGGCAGGCGCGCGGGGGTCCGGGCCGGGGTCCGGCGGGCGGCGGCTCGGGCCCGCTGGCCGGGCTCGGGCGGGCGGGCCGCGGGAGGGGATCTGGAACAAACAACGGCGGCCATGTTGAGAGGGGATCGGTGCGGCTAAACTTCTCGCAGGCTGCGGGCCGCGCGCCTCACCCGGGTCCCCTCTCCCCCGCCCCGGCCAGGATGACAGTGAAGTTGGGAGACGGCGGCGGCGGGGAGGACGGGCTCAAGAGGCTGGGCAAGAGGTCGGCCGAGGAAGACTCGCTGGAAGGAGAGGGGCCCGGCGGCGGGGACGCGGCCGAGGAGAGCGGCGGCACAAAGAGGGACGGCAAGACCCCCCGGGACGGCGGCGACGGTCCCCAGGCCCCCTCGGGCGGCCCGCAGGCCCCGTCCCCGCCGCCCGCCTGCCCCCAGGATCAGCACCACTTCCTCAGGTCCAGCGTGAGGCCGCAGAGCAAGAGGCTCAGGAAGGACTCGTCCTGCGCCGGGGGGAGCAGCAGTGCGGGCAGCTCCGGGCCCCGCGGGAAAGGTACGGAGACCCCGGCCCCGCAGGGTGTGCCCTGCTCCCGGGGTGGGGGGCCCTTCCCTCACGCCCCCCTGCCTCCACCCAGCCGGGGCTCCCTCGTGTGTCTGCACCCACACTCAGAGCGGCACTTTGGAGGGGACAAGCTCTCTTCCTGCTCCAAAGAGACTGTTTCTGTGTTTCGACTGTGTTGAGGGGCAGTAAGTATTCTTTCTTTGGACAAACCTAGATTTCTGATGGTTGGATTTTTTTCCATCTCAAAGACTCTTGGGTGATTTAGATGGTAAGGCTATTTTAAACAGCAAAGGATAGTTTAGAAAGAGATTGAGAAATTACGTGCTGTATCTTTTCCCCAGCCTTAGATGGTGAAAATACAACAAAGGAATGGGCTTTTGAAACTCACGTGGGGAAAGGTTGATAAAAAGTCGAAAATGAATGATTCCAAGGGTCCAGCTTGGGCCCATCACCCTCTCCATCAAGTATGCTAGGCTTGAGAGTGTTAAGGGCCTCAAGACATGGCCCTTTGAGTTTCTACTAAGGTTTCCTTGGGTGCCATGAAAACATCTCCCCTAGCATACTAAGTGGTGAAAACATTTATGACCTGACATAAACGAGCAGCAGTCCACAGGATTTGTCCTGGCATTCTCGAGTTGTTGAGGACGTCTCAGCTTTCCTAGGGTCCCTATCAATAAGAAAACCATGTGTCAGTTCCTTGTTGTTTTCTGCTTGTATCTATTTATATTTCAGCATTCTGCTTTTTCTTAATGGTGCAAGTGAATTGTTCTTAATATCCTTTCTGTTTTAGGCCAAGTTTGCAGCACTTTTATAGATAGCACATGTAACACCAGTTTCTAGTGAGTTTCACATGAGAAAAACTTTCACATAGTTCCTCGGGAGATGGAATTTAAATCACTAGCTGGTCCTGATAATGTTAAGAAGGAAATACCTCAGAAGCTGGTGGAGGACCCATTTTGGAGATCTGTGCCAAACGCATGCATTTAAACTTGCTACTTCTGCCTCATTCTCAGCTGAGGAGGACTGGCCTCTGAAATCATAGCCTTACTCTTTTATTTTTTTGGTGAAGACTTTTGATGTAAGTATACTCACTTGGAGATGTAAGCATGAGATAATTTCGTATGCTTCAGAAGTTAAAACTTGTCTTATAGAAGTTTATTTTGGTGTGAAAGTTGCTGATTGATTAGAAAAACGTTAATTTGTTTTCCTGGCTTTGTTTTGTAAAAGGTAGTCTTTCACTCCTAGTCAGAGAGATGTCTTAAGTTACCATGTATAAGTGCTAGGGAGCCTCCAAGGGTTTGTTTGTGGCTTCAGAAGCACTGGCTCTGACGTCTGGTCAGAGTCCCTGGCTTCGGTCCCCTGGCCCTCTGACCTCTCGGTCTGCTGGCTTGACCCCTCTTGCCAGCTTTCTCCTTGGAGAGGCATCCTTCCCTGTGAATTAAGGAGTGCCGGGGACGGCTCCCCTCTCCCCACGTGTGGCTGCTGAAATGGAGCGAGGCACTGGGAGCTCTCTGTCCCCTCTGAGTGGCTACCTGTGAGGTGACGTGGCGTGGGTGTGACGTGAGACTTCAGTTAGAATGTCGGCAGTGGCTGAGGAGCGGTTTGCTTTCACTGACACACTCGAGTGTGGGTCTGATGGGAAGGTTTCTGATTAGCCTGGCCTCAGATCTGTTCTTAATTCTTGCCCAAACGTGGCTTGGATCACCCATCCAGTTCCCATCAGTAAAATGGAAGTTTGTTAGAATTTGTGCTGCTTACAGCTTGTGTATTTTCCTGTTTTAGCATGCAGAAGTTTGTTAAAGTGAATAATGAAGCTAAACTGTGGTGCTGGTGTTTGGGAGAGGAGTGGAAAGTGTGTTTCCTCTGCCTCACAGAGCTCCTGGGCCTGCCTCTGGCCCAGAGCTCCCTGGTGAGGCCTCCTCTGGGCTGTGCCTCAAGTCTCCCGTGCCCAGGACATCCCCCGTCTGCCTCGGGCAGCCTCTGCTCCCTCTCCACCCCTTTGACCGGAGAGAGCAGGTCACTTGTAACCTTGGGGAACATTCTTGGAGGAGCTGTTTGTCGCACAGACGGTGGAAACCTCCACCTATAGTGATGAGCATGGACCATTAAGGGAATTTTTCCAGTTTTTTCACTTCAGGAAAGTAAAAATTTCCATTATATTTGAGGTACAATCACAGCCCAGCCAGGGAAGGCTCCTTTGGTTACTGACCGCTTTCCAGTTTCAGTCTTGATGCATGGAGAACTCTGCCGTGCATTTGGGAGGAAAAGGCTTGGGGAGGAAAGAAGGTTTTCATTTTGCTTCTGTCCACACAAGTACAGTCGTTTCTTTTTTCATAAGAATGGATTCTTTTGTCAACTCCAGTGAAAAACCAGAAGTGGAAGCTTGAATCAAATCCTTTTTGAATTGACCAGGGGCAAGTGGCAATGATTTAGTACCTGTGTGCCAGGCATCTTGCACCTCTGTTACTTTGCTTTTTATGTGGGCTCAGATACTGAGGAGTGCTGTTCAGATAACGTGCTCAGCTGAGACAGAAGGTAGGCTGCAGGTCAGAAACCAGTGGCTCTGCTTGATGTCAAAACAAATGCTCCCCTGGCCCTGCCATGCACCCCAAGTGGCCTGAGAACACACTTGAGACTGACTTCACAACCTGCGGGAACCAGGCCAGGAGACAGAGCCCCCACACCCTTCCCGTGTGGTCAGTTCATGATCTGGGTGATTCTGGGCCAACCAGCACATCTCAGGTGCTTTGTCTGTAAATGGGGATAACCCCCGTGTCTGCCTCAATGAAATAAGTAATGCCCTGAAGCCGTGCACAACCGGTGAACAGGCTGCTCTTAAGGAAAGCGGGCCTGGCTGCCAGGTCGAGCTTCAGGCCGAGTCTGAGTGGTTGGATGGGGTGGGCAGGGTCACCTGTTAGGAGGTAGGATAGAGGTGCCAGGAATGCCCCCAAGCCGTAGAGGTGAGGGGCCTCAGGGGATGCCTGAGTTGAGGGCAAAGTCAGACCCTCTGTTTGCAAGACTGTCCCCTCCCTCAGAGTCAGGGAGCAGGTCAGAGGAGGCACCGTCTCTACAGTGGGGCTGCGTCATCTGGCTTTACTATGTCATGCTTAGAAATCGGCGGTTCCATGTACAGAAAGCGTTTGCATTTTGCTTAGTCTGGGGCCTGCCTGTACCTTCCAGGGTTTTTTTTTTTTTCCCGTTTATTTTTATTAGCTGGAGGCTAATCACTTTACAGTATTGTAGTGGGTTTTGTCATACAGTGACATGCATCAGCCATGGAGTTACATGTATTCCCCATCCCGATCCCCCCTCCCACCTCCCCCACTACCCGATCCCTCTGGGTCTTCCCAATGCACCAGCCCCGAGCACTCGTGTCATGCATCCAACCTGGGCTGGTGATCTGTTTCACCATAGATAATATACATGTTTCGATGCTGTTCGCTCGAAACATCCCACCCTCGCCTTCTCCCACAGAGTCCAAAAGTCTGTTCTGTACATCTGTGTCTCTTTTTCTGTTTTGCGTATAGGATTATCGTTACCATCTTTCTAGATTCCATATATATGCGTTAGTATACTGTATTGGTCTTTATCTTTCTGGCTTACTTCGCTCTGTATAATGGGCTCCAGTTTCATCCATCTCATTAGAACTGATTCAAATGAATTCTTTTTAATGGCTGAGTAATATACTCCATGGTGTATATGTACTACAGCTTCCTTATCCATTCGTCTGAAAACTATGGAACGCTTCACGAATTTGCGTGTCGTCCTTGCACAGGGGCCATGCTAATTTTCTCTATATCGTTCCAATTTTAGTATATGTGCTGCCGAAGCAAGCACCAGGGTTTTTTTAAAAGAGTTCTCACGATGTACCTCACCCTGTTGTGGCCAACCCTGGGGAGACGGTATCCTTTTGGGAGGAAAGATGATTTGTGGTCGGGAACCCCGTGTCTCCACCCTGAGCTCCAGTGGTTCATTCAGCTGGGCTGGAGGGGTGCTTGGCCTGCCCAAACTTTACGCTTCTTCAGTTCAGCACCAGACAGTTCAGGTCACGGCCAAGGGCAGGCTTCCCTCCGCTCAGGGGTGCCTGGGGTCCTGCGAGAAGGCAGAGGCCCGGAGGCCAGGTGGTCTTCTTCCTGGTGGGCCCTCCTTAGCCCTCACCTCTCAGAGTGCCCGGCCTGGTGAGGCTCTGCCGGTATCCATGCCGCAGTCACTCTCGTCCCTCCCCAGGCTGGGGCAGCTGGGTGGGGCAGTCGCTGCCTTCCATACCCACCAGGGGCAGGGGGACACACCTGACCCTCCGGAGACCATGAGGCTGGAGCTCTGTGGTCCTTGTGGCCAGTCTGATCCAGCACCCACGGATCGTTACCCCAGGGTCCTTCAGGCTCTGTGAGGGTCTCAGCTTGTTGGGAAGAGAAGTGAGAGGCAGGCTGTTCCTCCAGCTGTGTCCAGTACATGCCTCTCTCCCCATTGAGGCTGTGTGTGCGGGAGACACGGGGACCGCGACACGGGATCTGTTGGGTGACACAGGCCCCCCTCTGTGCACAGTGGGTCAGGAGACCCGCCGGCCCAGGCCACATCAGAGGGGCCACGACGGAGCCTTGCTGGATGGAGGGGAGCCTGCCTGTGGAGCAGAGCTTCTGGGGAATCCCTCAGTCAGTGCTGTGCCCGGAGCCGGCTTCACGTCTAGGACGTGGGCAGGTAGCCTGGGCAAGTAGATAAGGGAATCGCTGAATTTTGGTTTGAAGGCTGAGCTAACTTTGAAGTGTTAGTACTTCCTTGACTTTCTGTGTCAACACTGATGTTTCCATGGTGTCTCGTGAGGGTCTGCAGTGGTCTGGTGCCTGCTGAGTGTACATGCTTCAGGTTTTTCATTTCAGGTAGTATGTTGTGTCCTGTTTCAGATGACACGAAAATACGAAGATAGCAGAGTCACAGATGTGGAAACCGTCTTTGTCCTGGATGGGAGTGTGCTGGAGTGCTTTATCACGTCA